GATTGATTAGAGCTATTATCGATTGAATGAATGATTTGTTTGTTTGATTCATAAATAGATTGAATTTAATAAAAACATCAGTTAAATCAAAGTCTACTCTAATTCTTAGACCATTTCATCGTAATTACATATTTTTTATACACTACTACTCTATTAAATAATAATTTTAATTTAAACAAAACAAAAATTAAACAAATTTTCGATTATTATTATATTTTAATTTACAAGTTTAATAAAAAAAATTGTTGAATAAATATTTGTTATTGAATTACAGCATAATTACTAAAAGTAAGATTTAAACCAACAAATTATTATAAAATATGCAAAATATCAATTACAATAAATGATTTAAAAACAATTTGATTATTAGCAACTTTTTTAAAGAAAATTACAATTAAATTGAATAAAATTTTACCAGTTTTTTAATTAAATTTTTCAAAGTTTGAATATAATTCATGTGTTGAACAAACAAAACTTTTTAATGTTAAACTTTTACATAAACTTCAGTGACAAACTAATTTAAACAAATATTTAAACAAGTTATATTTTATAAAATTGTTTATTTAAATAACGTTGGTAGAAATTTGTGATAATCTGTTATAAAATATAATTAAATATTTTATAGTAAATCAGTTTTAATATGATATTGAATATGAATATACAGTTCTATATTCTGTGTATATCTCTCAGCCTTTAGTTGTCAAACATTGTATTATTTACACATTTAGTTAAATTAATGACTTTATAACCTTTATTTCTATATGATTTTAAAAATTATCATAAAATAATGTTTTTAAAAAATGAGGAATTTTAATTAAACTATTTTTTTAATTTACAGAGTTTTGAATAAAATAATTTTAAACGTATTTTTTATTAAAAAAATTTAATTATAAAAATATATGAATAAACAATCGTTAAAATTGATGACGGGTTTAAGGTTTTAAGCTACCAGTATTATACCATTGAATGTACAGTTTGTGTGAACCCGACCCCCAGTCCCAGCAATTTGTTATACAATACAATATCAATAATAATTGTTAAGTTTTTGTTTGTGAAGCTAATTAACCCAATGAAGTAAATACCGGTGTTTTCTATAAGCCAGTTGTAAAAAACTATAACGTAATGCAGTAATATTTGAATGTTTGAATACAGTATATGATATAACTTGTTATAGCAATACTTTTTATAACTTATAAAAATTGTATTAATTAATGATTGATGAAAGTTTGTAGTAAAGTTAACTTTACACGCAAACATTGATTTCATACACAAATATTTAAAAAAGTTTTCACACATAAAGTTATGGTTAAATCTGTGATTTGTTAAACACCGGGCGCTCATCCCATAGACGCCTACGTGTGCTCTCAATTGTAACAATGCTTAACAAATGAGTGATAAAATTGGTTTAGCATAGGATTGGGTCAATTAAAATGAGNCACATAAAGTTATGGTTAAATCTGTGATTTGTTAAACACCGGGCGCTCATCCCATAGACGCCTACGTGTGCTCTCAATTGTAACAATGCTTAACAAATGAGTGATAAAATTGGTTTAGCATAGGATTGGGTCAATTAAAATGAGAGCTCATATTATATTGTATAAGTATTTTGTTAATCAATGCTTATATAACGTATTGAATGAGTCATTGGATTAATAAATGAAATTATATTTTACAACAAAAGTCAGGTCTTAAGTATATATTGAGTTGTAATTTATATAGGATTTAGGGCTCAAAACCTGTTAACTATATCACAACTTATTGTCATTCATTAAGCGTACGCTTAAAACCCGATTAACAAATAAAAAGAAACAAAAATAAATTTATATTTTTTGATAGTAATTAATAAATTGTATTTAACTATTAACTAAATAAATATTTAAAACTTTGAATTAAATGTATGCCAATGTTTGAGACCAATTCACCACTCAGTCAACCAATCAGTTGTTGAGAAAATAAATTATTAATTAATAAGTAACTTTAATAAAACTGATAATTTTGTAAGTAATAAGTAATATTTAATATCCAATAAATGCATTAAAATTGTTAAAACTATAAAATTTGATTCACACATTTGTTATGTTTTTACTCTATTTCCGACACAATTTAAGTGCTTTAGTCACACAGTATCAGCAAATGTGAAACAATTCTTAAGACAAATGCACAAACATTTTGTGCAAACTTGTAAACAGTTTAAAAATATTTTATATAACAGTTAATCCGTACTCTACTGTACAGTTGTCTACAGAATTGTTATAGAATTCTATACAGTATATCAAATCTATAGAATTGTTATAGAATTCTATACAGTATATCAAATCTATAGAATTGTTATAGAATTCTATACAGTATATCAAATCTATAGAATTGTTATAGAATTCTATACAGTATATCAAATCTATAGAATTGTTATAGAATTCTATACAGTATATCAAATCTATAGAATTGTTATAGAATTCTATACAGTATATCAAATCTATAGAATTGTGTTCAATATATGAGCTGACAGTGAATGCAAAGCACAATATATTGAGTGAACGTATTGTATGAAAGCGTTGAGTCAAGTGAACACTTTGTAAACATTGATTACAGTTATCACTGAACAGATCCAGACTCTCATTAAAAGGCGATGTCTTCGCGAAGAGCCCTTCACTTTGTCCTCAAAATCGGCGATCGATTCAAGAGTATTGAGTTCTTCAGAGATGTCCTCCAAATGAAAGTATGTGTTGACACAACTCATCACTTTCTCGACCACTTGTTTGCCATTTAAATGAATTGATTGTTTCCATGGATTAGGTCTTAAGGCACGAAGAGTTTGTGGACGGGTGTAAGGCCTCGTGTAACGGCCCATACGATGGCCACTGGTCTAAGACTATGATTGGTTACGGACCCGAAGACCAACACTTTGTCTTAGAGCTGACTTACAATTACGGCATAAGTGGTTACCAATTGGGCAATGATTTAAACGCCATTACCATTGAATCCAAGACTCTTCTCAATCACATTGAAACCAAAAACTATGTCTTTAAACGAGAAGGCAATGGTATTGTCAGTGTCTTATCGCCCGACGGATACAAATTCATTATCGACTCAAACTGTGATAACAGAAGCGATCGCATCACTCGTGTCTCGCTCTCCAGTTCTTCATTAGACAAATCCATCAATTATTGGAACCGTTTGTTAGATATGAAGATATTTGAATCGACCGATAAATCAGCGCTTTTAGGGTTCAATCAAAATGAATGCAAATTACAGTTAATTGATATTAAAGACAAAGTGAGACACGAAAAGGCTTTCGGAAGGATTGCCTTCAGTTGTCCTGAAGACCAGTTGCCGGCCATTGAGTCGCGAATGAAAAATGAAAAGCAGACGATCTTAACGCCATTAATCAGTTTAGACACACCGGGAAAGGCAACCGTTCAGGTGGTCATTCTGGCCGATCCCGACGCCCATGAGATCTGTTTTGTAGGTGATGTGGCCTTCAGACAATTGTCACTAATAGATCCCAATGCAGACAAAGCCCTCAACAAAGTATGTTTTATATTTAAATCTCTACATAATTGGTTTATTTAATCACATATTGAACACAATTGTAAAATATAACAATCATTTGTATCGCAAGGCTTTATCTGAAGACAAGAGCAACGAGTGGTTCCAGAAGAAGGGCCGATCAAAGGATAAAATTTGAAATAACGAGCGAAGCATTAGTACCGCCGAAACCAAAGGAGTTAGTGATGGCAACGCGTCTCTCTGTTTGCCATTTTTGTGCTTTTGTTACAATATTTAATTCCTGATCAATAGGTTGTTGTAAATTAATTGTCGGCGGAACTAATGAGTGATAACACGATAGGATTGTAAATATAGCTTCAATACTTCCGGCAGCGCCTAACAAATGGCCGGTCGAGCCCTTAGTGCTTGTGATCATTATATTCTTGGAGTGTTCGCCAAATAACTCCTTAATTGCTTTCAATTCAATTTTGTCGCCCAATGGCGTAGACGTCGCGTGACTATTGATATGTGTTATGTCTTCAGCTCGTATGCCGGCGTCGGCTATAGACGCTCGCATACATTCAATCGCTCCCTTCCCGTCCTCTCCCGGCGCTGTCATGTGATTCGCGTCTCCTTTTTGTTTAGAAAACATTTAATTTTTATACTTTTGAATACAATAAAATGTGAATCGATATAACCTGAGAGTCCGTAACCAATAATTTCTGCATAAATGTTGGCGTTTCTGTTGATGGCGTGATCGAGGCGTTCGAGTACAACGAGACCACATCCCTCTCCCATCACAAAACCACACCGAAGAGCATCGAAAGGACGCGACGCTTCCGATGGCCTGTCGTTGTATTTCGTACACAACGCCCGGATTCTGGCGAAAGCGGCCACTGATAGCGGACTTATCACGGCTTCGGTTCCCCCGCAGACCATCACTTGCGCGGCGCCGCGTTGTATGAAATTGAAGGCATCGCCAATCGAGTGGACACCAGTCGTACAGGCGGTCGACACTGAATGGTTAGGTCCCGTCAGACCGTATTTGATGCTTATGTGTCCCGAAGGCATATTCACCAACAGTTTGGTCACAAAGTGTGGACTAACTCTACTGAAACCTTTTGTCTGGAGAGCCATACCATTGCTAACCACTTCATTCATGTCAATCATTCCCATCCCGACGGCAACCCCGGTATCCCTTCTGTCCTTATCGGTGGTGGGTTTCCAGTGGGCGTCACTTAAGGCCTCTTCGGCAGCGATTAAGGCATAAATGGTAGACTTGGATAGAGTTCTCAGTTCATTGGCTGTAAACCATTGCGTGAGTTGTGAGGCATCGGTGGGCACATAGGCTGCTATCTTGCATGGGATCGACTCATAGCCCTCTCCCATCACTCGCACGACACCACACTCGCCTTCGCACAGACTCTTCCACACGTTATCGGATCCCATCCCAAGAGGACACACACTCCCGACGCCCGTCACCACCACTCGACACCACTCGTGCGAATGGCGACAACCCGTCCATTCATTGCCACACTTTCCCACTAATCTCTTCACTACTTTTGCAGACAATTTATTAAACATTATCTCACTTTGCAATCAATTAATCAAAATATAAAATATCATTTTCAAGTCCACCAAAATGAACCATCGTCAATTCATTTGCCAGTTATCAACTACCATACTTTCAATTCACAAATTGTCCATGATGCTTTTACGTATTTGAATCAACCTTGATAGTTATATTTGGTTGCAATTAAGTGTTCATCAAATGAATGTAATATTTGGCTTTCATTTCAAACAATTTGACTGTAATTCACAAGTTTTTGAAATACAAAAATGTAAACACAAAATGTTCATCAATTATGTGAACATATGTTATGTTATTGTAATACAAATGAATGCAGTTTTCAGTTATTTTTGAAGACATAATTAGTGGTGAAATGAATACATATTAAGCGCTAAATATGCGATCATTTTGTTAACACATGTTTGTATTGTTTAGGAAACGATGTGTTGATTGATTTGATTGAAATTAGTTGTCAAATAAGTTTGACATTAATTGTGTGTATATTTGATGCGATCGTCGGTTAATGGGATTTAAATGATAGCAAATATGAGTGAAATAACAAATGAAAACTTTGAGCAAATGTTTCCCATAATTAGGGATCACATAAAGCACTCGTCTTTCATAGGTTTGAATGTCTTTGAAATCAACTTTAATTTAATTGTCTTATAATTTGTGACTCAATGACAGCGTTGGACACAGAGATGACTGGATTGGTGTACAACAAGACGTGTACTCCGAGTCTATTCGACACTTTGGACAAGAGATACGACAAACAGCGACAGTCGGCCACTAATTTCATTGTCTGCCAAATGGGACTCTCGTTGTACTCCAAGAACCAGAACTCAAATTCGTATTGACTTTAATTAGATTTGAATTTATTAAATACTGTAAATGCCATTCGTTTGCATTTGATAACAGTTACCACACGAAGACGTATACCTTTTATCTATGTCCGCGATCTCTGCAATACCGAAAGCCCACCTTCGCTATGGACTTGTCTGCCATCGAGTTCTTGGCGTACAATCACTTTGAATTTGATAAAGTATTTAAAGCGAATCTATTGTTAATGCATTACTTAATGTGTTTTGAAACCATTGAATAGTTTGCGAAAAATGGTATCAATTATTTGAATGAAATTGAAGAACAGAATCTGAGAGACAATTTTGACGACTATATGGACATTGATTTTATTGAGTGTCCATTCAATTACGAGAACAGTAGTCATCAGTTATCCGAGTGGTTATCCAACCGACTCGTCGATAAAAATAGTGGCAATCAATGTGTGCTTAAATGTCGTCCAACAGTCAATCCATTACTTAATTATGCATTTTTGAGAGAATTTCGCAAAAATTTCACCACTGTTTGGGTCGAAGAAATTAATGACAGATTTGTTGCCAAACCAATCGATGCCAACCAAAGAACTCAACTCTTGAAAGCGGAACACTTGGAAAAAGAGCGGGTTATCGACCGAATGGTTGGATTCTCCAGAGTTTTCCAATGCTTGGTTGACGCCAGACGACCCATTGTTGGCCATAACATGATTATGGATTTACTTCTCATATATCACCACTTCTATCAACCCCTCCCGAGTCCGTCACACTATTTCTTTTCATTTGACTTTTTTAACATTATTTCTACATTTTAGACAAATTGAAGGCATTTAAGACATCTCTTCATTCATTATTTCCATATCTTTTTGACACTAAATGTGTAATATTTAATGAGAAAAAGGTTTGTTTGATTGATATAATTGTGATGTTTATTATATACGGTATTAATACTGTATTTACAATTTGGTTATTACATAATATGTAGAACTTATCGGAATTGTCGCATATTTTCAAAAATTCTTCTTTGGGTGATATTTATACGAAATTATTGGACGACGAGATCGTCAATAGTTATACAAATTTGCCTAAAATTGAACAATTGGATGATCAAAATCACAAAGGTTTTTATTATTCATATTTAGTGTTATCTATTTAATTAATTATATTGTCTATAAATCTAATTGATAGCAATCGAAAAGTATTCACCACATAATGCAGGCTTTGATGCTTTCGCCACAGCATTTGGTAAAAACAATAAATTAATGATTGTCTAATTATTGATATGTTTTCACAATATTATTATAGTGTTTGTTAGAGTGACAAGTATTCTGATGGCAAAGAAAGACAGGTATATACTGTAAATGGGATATAATTAGTGTTTTGTTTAATAGTTTATTTAAATACAGTTCTTTAGTTGTCGATGGGATTCCAAATCATAGTTGGTTTGAATTATTGAAAACAATTGAAATCCATTGCAACAAAATCAATATGATTCGCGCAAATGTTCATTATATGGTATTTAATACATTTGCAATTTTAAAATATATTGTTTTAATATTTTATTGTTTTGTTTTAATATTTAGTGTATATCAGGAGCCGATCCTTCGGGCTCTAAATCTCAATGGCTTTTCGCGAAGAAACGTAATAAAGACTCGAAATTTTTAATATCAAATGTAAGTCTAGAGAAAAGTCTGGATTGTAATCAAACCTATTCTTAATATAAATGATGACGAAATGAAAATAAAATATAAACCATTTGATGTAAACTTGATTTTTAGTTGACGTCTAAACTGTCTGAAAAGGGAACGGCAGATATCAATGTGATTGACGATCACTCAGTATTGATTGCAACAAACAGTCACGGAATGTAAGTTTGATTTCAAATTATAAAATTTAAAGTTTTTTAATCCTCAGTTTCTTATAAGAAATTTGCGTAAAAATTGTGTGAATGTTATAAAAATAAAGCGTTAAAAGAATTAGTTGGAAGTTTGATATTTAACTCCATAGTTCTCTCTCTCTCTCTCTCTCTCTCTCTCTCCCTCTTTCTCTCCTCCCTCCGTGTGATACTCACGAGTATTCAGTCTTAGCCTTGAGTTTAAGACTTTGGTTTTGTTTTATTTTTGGCACTTTTGGCCGCTCTTCTCATTCGTAATACAATCGAAGCATAGTTTTCGATGATCTCTGGAAAGCGTTCAAAACTCAAGTCTTTAAATAAGATTTCGCTTTAATTTTTAATTTTATTTTTTTAAATTTAAATATTTTTTGCTTTCGTATAATTGGATGGTTTTGGCCTTACATTAAATGAATAGCACGGAAGAAGTTTGCAGTCAGACCTAAGCTTTTTTGTAGCTGTTTTAGATACACATGTAATCTATGCCACTATTATAGAGCAATGGGTAGATGTTTAGCGAGAATTCTTTAAACAATTACTCTTTAGTTTATAGAAACGAATATTAAAAGAATGTCTGAAGAAGTAAATCACAAATATAGTAGATGTGAGCCTAATGTTGGCTTCAGTACAAAATTGGCTTTGAATTGGTTTGCGATTNTTATAGAAACGAATATTAAAAGAATGTCTGAAGAAGTAAATCACAAATATAGTAGATGTGAGCCTAATGTTGGCTTCAGTACAAAATTGGCTTTGAATTGGTTTGCGATTTGCATCACTTATGCTCTGATATCTGGCCCTAAAATTAATTGACTTTGAAAATTCATTTACGTGTATATTAATTATTTAATGAAAATTCTTGGTCTTAGAAACATTGTCTTAAGAACATTGTTGAGATCCAAGTCTATTAATAAATCGTAAAACAATTCTTTCCATTAAAACCATTTATAATTCAAATAAATTTTATTTAATTAAAGCAAATATAATTTAATATTAATATTACTCCAATTGAAGTCACAAATACAGAAATAATCACTCCTTTAACAATAAATACAACTCGTGTTGAATGATAACTAATTTATTGATATCCTATAGCTATAAAAGTTGAATTGAATGATAATATACATTTTGTATGTATTTTATAACCTCATTATTATGTAATTATAAGTTTGCTTTCACTCTTCGCAATGGTTTATCTGTTTTACAAACGAGTTATCAATTGACAAACTCTTGTCGTCAAAAAATGGGTTCAAATGACAATTGATAGGAACCATCTGAAGGCCGATCCCTTTTCCTATAATTAAAACGTTTAAATCTATTTTAACAAATGATCACAATTTACATTATGATTATATTCTAGTTGTTTTTCTCTCAATCAAAATTTTCCTTATACACGAGTACTTTGAATTCAATATTTCCACTAAAACTTTTGTTTAATTATCAGTATTTCTTATCTCATTGATAAAAATGATTTAATAATTTCTATAAATATTTAATTATTATAATTATCTATATGTTGATGTAATTAATTTCAGTGTAATGTACTGTAAATTACTGTAAAGTATATGTACTTAATAATGATATAAGAATTGATTGACGAATTGTATTATTAAGTGAATTTGATTTATTGTTTAAATAAGTAATAGTAATAACAGTTAATAGTTAACAGTAAAGGGGTATTTGTGGGGTTGAAAGAGACGATACATTAATTTAGATTTGTTTATAAAAAGACAATTCTATGTATAGAAAAAACAGAATAATAGCAAACATAAAGTAATTGACTATTTGTTTAGTTTAAATGTCATATTTGGTATGATTTGTAAATTCAGTCAATAATACAA